CCATAAAATATATCCACAATGTCAACACTACGACCTAAGATCTACCTCACTATGTAGCTTTATCCTAACGGATAGCATCACTGTACTGAAAAAAAAAGCTCACTCACACAAGAGTCTGAAATAGTGACTCTTTTCTGCTCCACTCTGTGTGCTAACAAACTAAGCTTATACACTGAAAATGGCAATAAACGGCTGGCCCATGTACATTTGCTTTCTAATCCTATTTGCATTGATAACTCCTCTCCAAAAAAGACAAACTATACTAGAGAAGACTCTTCTCCAGATTGCTGTTTCAGTTGGGGTCCAGGCAGAGACTGAGAACGAACAAACGAAGGAACACGTGTATGTGTGTGTGTGCGCATGTGTCTGTGCATGTGTGTGCACACACACGCATGCACACGCACACATGCACACGCACACACACGCACCCCTCAGTACATTCAGGACAACAGAATCAGGACCTAGCAAATCACAACCAGATGAAATCCTAAAGACCATAAATCCTATTCCTAAATTCCCTGGTATACAGAGTTTACATAATTTTAAAATTAAAAAAATCTCTAGTATTTAGGCCACAAAAAAAAACTCTCTTAATAAAAAGCAAAAGTCCATCATAGCATAATTGGTTGCAATTAAATAATAGAAATAAAACATTATCTTGCAAAGTGATAATCTAAAGAAAACGGTATGCTGTCAAACAACTGAAATGTAAAAAAAAAACAGATGGTAGATATCTAGGAAAGAGTTAAAAATCAGTCAGTATAAGGGATATAGGAAACATCAATATAAACACTTCTTCAAAGTCCAAGGTATGTAGACAAACACAAACAGTAAATAAAAGTTTTCCGCAAAGCCTAATGTATTTACATGCAGAATCCATTTCAAATGATTATTTTAGATCTTTTAAATAGCAGGCTTTGTACCATTTTTTCTCTAATTACAAAGGTAACACATTCGAAATAGAAATTTCAAACAATATATAAATATAATTTAAAAGTCCTCCATAATCTCACTCTCCAGAGATAAGCACTGTTAATAGCTTTATGTCTATTCTTCAAATTTTAAGTGAATATACTAATTATAATATGCATTATAGACTAATTATACATAAAATATACTTTTTAAAGAAAAACAGGATCATTCCACATTTACAGTACTCTGAAAGGTGTTTTTTTTCACCTACTGATATAAATCTTTTTTCACCTACTGATATAAATCTTTTCCTTTCAGTAGACGTAGATCTACATCATTCTTTTTAATGGATACAAAGCATTCTATTCTATGGGCAGACCATAATTTATTTAACCAGTCTCTTACTGATGGACACTTGGGTTGTTTCCAAATTTCTGCTATTAAAAATAACATAGCAGTTACATCCTTCTGTATATATATTTAAATTATTTCAGTCGGCTGAATTCCTTTAAGTAGGTTTTTGTTTGGGGTCACAGAATATGCCAAACTTTTCTTTTTAATTATCCACTTAACTTTAATTCATACTACCAAAAATCTTCAAGGTAGCAATTGCTTTAATTGCTTAATTATTTTGATTTTCATCTTTAATACTTTTTTGAGAATAATTTATTCTACTCAAAATTAATTACCTAGGAATTAAATTGAAAGGTATGTTTTAACACATTCCTGATCACTTATTAGAAAATATGCTTTGTCAATATTCTACATAAAAATATTCCAGTTTTACCTGAGAAGAGGGGGGAGGGGAAGGAGGAGGTAGAAGGGGGGAAGATTTAAATCATTTCTTCAATTTAAAAAGTAAATAAATAAAAGTTAAAAAAAAGAAGAAATATTCCAGTTTTAAGATATTTTATGTATCCCGAAAATCATTCAAATGTTCTAGAATCCCACCTTAGACTTGGAAGTTCTTTAACTCAAATGGATTCACTGTAATCACAGTTTCCTGTTTGTCTTCCAAAAAAAGAAAAAACACAAGGATCCCCATCACACATACAGCTTCAACATCTAACCAAAATTAAAAAAGGAACCCTACAAAATTGTCACTCCTAAATAGTGCATAAGAAACTCAAATATAAAAAGTCATGACATTCAGAGTCTGATTTCCAGTAAATCACCCAGGACACATTTCATGGTAAACAAATTTACTTGCTGAAAAATATAGTTACCAGGGCAACCATGACTGACCTTTTATGTTTTATTTATCAATCATATTGGCTAATTATTCTTATTCTTGGAAACAAAGGAGAAAAATGTATTATAAACAATGATAATTAATTAAGGGTCCCCCCGTTCCACACTAAATCACTCCTGCCAAATCTGTGTTTATCCAACAGACATGCTATTATCTGCTTCTTAGTTCTTGTCTGGGCTAAGAATATAGATGGCAGATCCCAAAGAGGCATTCACAAGTTATTGATATTAAGCTTGATATTCTAGATGGAGAAAGTATAATATGAGAACCAATTTCAACAGACATTTGTACAGACATGGGCATTCTGTGTTACTACATCATCACAATGCCTGGTACCTAGTAGGAAGTTATTCTCAAAATATGGAATAAATAAAATTTAGAATGAATATCTGTATGAATGCATAAATCCACCTATCTTTAAAATTAGATAGCTTATAAGACTAGAAATTCAAAACAACTCACCACTTTTATACTTTTTTATAAGTCTCATAATATTCTCATCTAATCAAATATCATGTCCATGTTGGAAAAAAATGATAAGCCTACTTATTTTTGTCATCCTAGAATACTGTCGTACCTGCTTAAAACTGGCACAGAGTGGGAAAACAAGTTAGAGGAGAAAGAAAATGGTTTAGGATTCCCAGTGTCCAAAATAGGATAGTAAGAGCATTTATAATGATTGGTATTATTCCATAATCCTTATCAAGGAGGTGCAAGGGTACAGAAAAGAGAGTACTGGGGCTTAGCCCTGGCTTTGGATTTCCTTGACTAAGTCACTGAAAATATTTCAATTTTCACAAGCCTCTGAAAATACTTCACTTTTCAGAGCCTCAGTTTACTCATTTATAAGATGAGGTTAGTACAATTCCTAATTTCTTTCAGCACTAAATGTCCATAATATGACCTGTCTTCCCTCTGAAAGGTAAGAAGGTTATCAAGGACACCTCAGTAGTAGAGTATGTACCTGGGAAATAGGAGCATTCAGTCAGCTGCCCAAGGAGGCCAATCTGCAGTAACCAGGGGACTGCGGTCACTACTACATGGTTTCCAGCCTCAGCGATAATCTTCTTAGTTATTGTAGGGGATCTGAAATACCTTCCTTCTCTTCCCCCTGTTCCCAACACCCCCATCCCCTGCACAGTTCCATGGACAGTCAGCAGGTACAACACAAGCTCCTGATTTCCCAAAGAGATCTTCCCTCCCACAGGTCCTCGGCCCTCCAGCATACAATCTAACTTAGCTTCACTCTTGTCCTCAAGGCCCTTCCCCTTACCTCCATCTCAGGGAAAAAAAAAAAAAAAATGGTGTCTCCTCCTCTCCAAGCAAATGTCTCCTCATAGGCTTTATCATGACCCTTGCTCCATCAGTCATCAACTCTACCTACCTTCCTTATCTTCAACGTCCCTCTATACTATCTCTTATTTTTGATATATATATAAATCATCTCGTCTCCCTAATTTAAAAAATATGCATATTATATTTCCCTCAGTCCTACATCTCCTTATATCCACTTCCTTCTTCCTTGCCTTACCTTTACCAGTCAAGCCTCTGAAAATATTTGACTATATTCCCTCCTCCTATTCTGCACTTACCATTTGCTCTATCCACTCTATTTGGTTTCCGCACTCACCCAGCACTGAAATTATTAGGCAGATTGTCCCCTATGAATGCCTAAGTGCTATGTCCATGAATGGCTTTTGATCTTATCTGACCTCCCGGTACCATCTGACAGTGTTTCTCACACCCCTTCTTAAAATGCTCTTCTTTCTTGGATCTCAAGACAAAAAACCTTTCCTCGTGTTCCTCTAAATTTCTGGCAGTTCCGTCTTCATTCCTTTCACTGGTTTATCCTCCTCTACCTAACAGTAACTGTTGATATTCCCTGAAGTTCTGTCCTAAGCTCCTCTTCTTACTCAGTGCATACATTCTTAGATCTCATCCATGACCATGGCCCTGAACAAGTGCTGCAGTGTGCAGCTAGGTATCTCCATCTGAATGTGCCACAAGCGCCTCTAGGCCTTATTTTAATCCCCAACACTGTCCACCTTCTAAACTTCCTATCTTGATTAGTGAACCTATCACTCACCAAGGTAGCTAAGCTCGAACTAGATCATTAACCTAGACTCCTCCTCTTCTCTCTCATGTTCAGCCATGAAACTCTACCCTCAAATAGATGTTGAAACCAACTTCTTCCCAAACTGCATACCAAGTATCTTAGTTAAGGCCCTCACAATCTCAGCTAGTCTTCCACAGCTTCTCTATAACTGCACTCCTATCTGTGGTGTCTAATTCTCCCAATCCATCCCAAATACACAGCTAACCTGACTTCTGCCCGCCTCCACCCTTCATGATCCAACTCCTATGTACCTTTTCCAGCTTGACCTTTTGCTACTCCCACAAAGCCTTTTCCCTCCAGCCATGCTAAACTATTTGCAGTTCCCAGAATCTCCCATGCTTTTTACACTTCCATACCTGTCCACATATTCTCTCTCTACCAAGAAAGTCTCCTAATACCATCTGAATGGCTATGTCCTAACTATATTTCAAGACCCAACTCAAGAGATCTCCTGAAAGTCTTTCCTGATTCAAAGTCTCCTTACGGTGTTAGACAGTCCTCTTCTGTGCTTCTGCGACACTCCCAAACTATGTTTATTATGGTTCTTAGCACATAGCATTGTTTTGTTCTTTTACTATCTCCCATGCAAGAATCTAAAACAGAGACAAGGGAATATATGGACAGAAGAGATCCTATATAATTCCTCTTTATAAATCTAGTACTTACCACAGTGTCTAGCACAAAGTAGGTGATACACATATCCACAAACACACACAAAACTATTCATGCAGTATTTATTGAAAAGTCATTAAAAGGTTGAGGACAAAATTTATAGTCACATTAATGTTAACTCTTGGACAAACACTACATCCCGAAGTTTCTCTGTATTCACCATAGCGCAGAGCCTTCTTGAGATGAGTTACAGCGTAGTTTCATTTATCATTAGAAGTAGAGGCAGAAGACCTTATGATCTTGTTTTTCTTATAAAATGGTCAATTTCATTTGAAAAATATCTGCTGTGCACTAGACATCACAGAATTCCTTAATGAGTTAGCTCCTTCAAGGAGCTTACAGTCTCACAGAATCTGTAGAATACATTTCAAAAAAAGGTTTATTGTAAGGTTTGGGTATATATGCATTTCTGTGCATCAGTATTGTTTAAAGTGTAATAAAACAAATGAGACCACACATAAAAATTGTGTTTTCAAATGAAATATTCATTTCTTATGTTAGGTTTTGAAAGTTAACTCATGTGTCCTTCTGTTTCCTCTCAGTTTTTTTAGTTATTAGACTTCAAATCACTGTCATTGCAAGCAGTGAATGCGCAATAATTATTTCATATTTTTCTCTCTCATTCTCTATCATCTTTAAATCCATAATATCTCAATCCAACTGATGTCAGTAAATCCAGTCTGTCTCAACTTTTCTCTAAAACTCTTAAAACTATTTGAATGAGGTGTTGAGCAGCTGTCAGTTATGGATTTGAAAATAAAAAAGAGCCTGAAAATTGTACGTTCAGTATAAAAAGATTAGGTGAAGCAATTCAGAATGTTTAAGAACTTTAAATCAAGTTAAAAGCAGTTACTATGGCCAGACCTCATGAAGCCCCGCTTAAGAGTCGCATTAACCTGGCAGTCAAAACTATTTAAAATGAATAATGTTTTTTTTCACATTTCACTTACTTTCAGCATCACAAAAAAAAAAAAAAAAAAAAGAAAGAAAAAGATAACAATGTGAATTGGCATATGGTAGTACAGTCATGTAATAGTAACCTTCAAGATTTAGCTTTCTAAGGACAAAGCTAGAGCTATTAATCTGTGCACTAGATGAGCTATACCCCCTCTAAGGCTAAAACGGATAATTCTTCAAATGAAGAAAGGACAATTAAGATATTCCAGAAGCTTTTCAACATGAAAAGCAAGAGAAAAGGAGAGGAAAATGTACAATTTGGATGCACACAATAGCAGAGTCCAAAATTCAATACAAATCCACTGGATTTGGAATGAATGCTAATACCCTAACCCAACCCCTCTTCACTTCTCACCAGTTAATGCTATTGATGAGCATAACAATTTGGCATCTTACTTATCAGTCTAGAGCTATGCCACCCAATACAGTAGCTACTAGCCATACGTGGCTAAATTTAAACTAATAAAAAATAAAAAATTCAGCTCCTCAGTTGCACTAGCCACATTTCAAGTACTCAATAGTCACACGAGGCTAAAAGCTACTATATTGGACAGGACAGATATAGAATATTTCCACCACCACAGAAAGCTCTATTGAAAAATCATTGGAGAGGCATTGCTGAACAAAAGGATGCTAAAGTTGCTAGACTAGCCAGCTCTAAGTTTCAGATCTCCACTGCTACTTTCTGATCATCCTACCTTTAGAAAAAGACCAATCACCTCCTAACGGTAACATGCAAAAATTCCAGAAGAGTGTATCTTTTACATGGAAGAGTTAAGGAAATGCAGACTACCACTCAGCAGGTTGCCATATTCTGCCTGAGCTACACTCTCACTACTCAACGGTAAATCAAAATGCTCCCACACATCAATTTAATTCGTAAACCCCTGCTGACTAATAGTCGCTAAGGAACCACGCACAGTCTTTCAGGACGTTGCACAGCATGTTGAAAACCAGGGTAGCAAACCTTAATCTACCTAAAGAATAGGAGTTGCCAGTAAATTGATCTAGGTTCTCCCTGCCATCCTGAAAATGCTCCCTGTGCTACACTAGAATTTGTTTTTGTTCACTGGTAGGAGTTATTAAAGAAGCACACTTTCAGAAAAACAGCTCCCATCCATCCTCCCTCCAGGCTTCAGGCTGCCAAAGCCATCATTCATTACATGAAACACAAGGACAGTTGGGAGGTTCATTAATTCGCTCTTTATTCAACATCACAACCTCAAAAATCTTAATTAAACTTTTTAAGTAAAATGGGCAGGCTGAACAGGTTCTCCACAGTTTCCTATACCATGGTAAAGGCATAATTTGGTGTACTGGTAGACTACAATGAGAACTGAACTCTCTGTAGTATATTCCAGTCCAAAAATCTGGAATCTGGTTCCAGTGTTGCCACGTCCTAGCTATGTGACCGCCTGTTACCTAAGTTAATTTCATTCTAATACAACCTCTTCTCTAGAGTTCATTCACTTCTAGAAGAATCCTCCCCACTTCCGGACTCTTCAGCAATTTAGTCAAAGGACTTCTATTCCACATCGATCTTGCCTGTCTTCCACCTATTCCTCCCACCTCCTTCCACAACATTCATCTTCAGTCCTCTGACAGTCCTTTCTGTGTTAATCACAGTTCCTTATCTTACACCTTAAAAACACACCTTCCTTAAGGTTCTATCTCTACACGCCTCCCCTCAGGATCTCTCATACACTCATCTCCAGCACCCAACACGATGTTTGGCACACACTGGGCATTTCAATACATGTGTATCAAATAAATAACCGAATCAATGCATAATGTAGAACTTTAGCTATCAACTCTTTACAGATAACTTTCAAATCTCATCTCTAGCTCTACTCTCAACTTCTCTCCCAAACTCTAGCACCACATTTCAAATTACCTTCTAAACATTTCCACTATGTTCTAATGGTAGGTCACGTTTAACGTATCCAAAACCAAGCTCATTGTCTTTCCTTACTAAACCCACCATATGACATTTTTATTTGTTCATTGGAATAGACATTCCCCTACGCCACTCAGGTTCAAAATCAAAGCACACCTTCACTTCCAGTCTTTATTTTTTCTCAATCCCCATTCTCCAGTCAGCCACCAATTCCAATCAACTCTACTTCCATTCTTCTTCCACTGAACTAGTTACTTGAACTATTATACCCTTAACCAATCTCATTTCTAATCTAATCACAAACCACTGACAGATTCACATTCCTAAAGCACCGATGTGGTGTTAGTTACTTCACTGTTCAAAATACCTTCAATAATTCCCAAAGACCTCCTGGATTAAATCTAAACTTGGTATTCAAAGGTTTTCCACACTTGGACCCAGCTATCCCACCTCTCACTAGTCATTTTAGCTTTCCTTCTCTCTCAACCTGGAATTCCTTTCTTCTCATCTCTTTCTCTGTGAAAATCTTCCCCATGTTTTCAAGATTCTGTTTAAACGAAAAGCCTTCTAGACACTCCAACTCCATGTTAACTCCCTCTTTTATATCCCTGTGATGAAAGGATAGAGATGACAGTGATCTGAAATCTCAGCTCCTTATCCACTTCTCTGCTATGACCACAATCATACCATCAGGGACCTCAAAGAGAATACGAAGAGAGGAAAGATGAGGCAACTAAACATTCCTTGTTACTGCCTGTGGCTTTAGCCTCAGCTCTGATGTGCACTCAGTAAACTGGGTTTCATTCTCTCCAGCCCTGTTGTGCTGAACCTGAAGGACTCATTCTGTTTAGGCCCTTGGTTTTCAAACCTTTTTTAAAAAGAGTTAAATTCTTTTTTCAAAGGAGATCCTATGGAGATCCAATATATAAATGTGGATCTTCCTTTCTTGAAATGGTAGAATGCTATGGGAACACGAGCAGCAGATAAATGTTACAAAATGAATTTAACTCTTATCAGTTATTCCATTATAAGTAATTATATGTCTTTTTTTTTAAGTCTATCCTTTTCTTGTTCCTTTAGTTCACGAAAAGTTCAGGTCAAAATCTTCAAGGTGATGACTTCATCTTAAAGAAATCCTAAGATCTTGAAAAATATTCTATTAAAGTATATCTCTGTATGCACTCACCTTATGAAGCAAAGATAAAGAAATGTAATCATAGGTAAATTAATATGAAAATGGGAGATATTTTTGGTTAAAAAAAAGGTGAAGAAAAGTTCTGCTACTACTTTAGCCTGAAATTCTATCCTTCTAGGCCTGATTCATGCTACTGCATGAATGGAATATAATATTTGATGGATAACATTTTAACAGGAAAAGAAAACTGAATGAGATGGTTATTTAAAAAATCATCAACTTGTTTTCATGCAAATGACCAGAATAATGAAATAAGCAATCCTGCCAACAGGACCTAGAAGCAATTGTTTTTAAATAGGATGCTTGAAACATTACCCACCTAATTCTAGAAGAAATTGATTAACTAATCTCTTCTTTTTCTTGGGGAATACCAAAAATATGCTATACATTAACACACTGACAAAATTTCTATTTCAAAGATACAATTTTTCTTGACTATCGCTATCAAATCATGTACTTGACAGGAGGACATGCTGATAAAGATATATTTACCAAGACTTATGGTGTAAAAGAAGGGTTTGAAGGATTTCTTAAGAAAGCAATCCTTAAAAAACGTCTACAACAAAGGGAAAATGGTACATGGAAAATATGTCATTCCACTCAAAGCCTTAACTAATTGCAATAATCCACACATGATACCTAAGAAATGCAAGCTATGTGGCCTAAGACAATCCAGAGCTATATAGTTACAAGGGAAGCTTCGATAAAATGCTACGATTCCCCATAATTCAAAGCATTTAAAGCACCGAACACAGTCTAGGCTGGATGCATGCCTTAGGCAGGGAAAAGAGAAGTCTAAATGGATGGATGGAAATAGAAGTGAACACTTTAAAAACAGGCCATAAAAGACAAGTTATGATAGATCCTCCTCCCCCTCCTAGTACTGTCAGGAAGTTAGAGTTATTGAGCAGACATCACTTACGACAGTGAGAAAAAAGGCTGGCTACCCCCTCCCCTCAAAAAAACCTTTACAAGGTCACAGATATATCAGTGTCACTAATGCATTTTAAGAAGATTACAGCAATAAACTCTGGTTAGAGTGGGTGCCACCTCTATATTCACAGAAGAGAACGAACTCCAAACTTCCCCTAAATTAAAAAGGTAATATTAGCAAACTCTCTCCCTCTGCCTGCATATAAAATTTCTCCAATGTTCCATGTAAAACCAAATCTTTCCATTTAAAACTAGATCAGTATTAGGCGATTAACTTTATAAGCTTAAATTCGCCACAGTCTTATTTAGCACTAACTATACAGTCACGCAGAGTAGAAGTATCTCCACAAAACAAACTGCCTTACCTACCCATCTCATTTTCTTCAGCACAGCAACAGGCCTTTTCTCATATTTGATCCAACCACTGTGATCTTTTTTTTTGATCCTGTAGCCACTGACTCCACATATATCTTTATTACTGTACAGGAAAACTGTTGCCCTGAGGTTTAAACTTCCCTATGTTCCCCATGCCTCTCCTGAGAATTAATCTCAGTTTCAAGAAAAGACTCTCAGAAAAACTGAGGTGAAAAGGAGCAGATGGCCTCAGAGATAAGTTTCTTGGTTTGTTGCTTCAACTGTGAGTTGTCAATATGGCCTTAGCAATGACTCAACGTCCAGCCATCCTAGGGATGTTTAGTGATTAAATAAATGGAAAGAGGTTCTCTTATCTGGGCCGGTAGTCTAAACCTAACAATTACCCAACAACCAAGTATGAACACACTAAATCTCAGTCCTTCAGTGATGAAAAACTCAGGCATGTTAACAGCTCTTCATCTACTATGAGAGAACAAACAACTTCTAATGAGAATTACAGTTCTAGAAGCTGATAATGAGACAACCACTAAATTAAATTCATAAATACAAAGGCCTAGCGCAAATTCTATATCTCAACTACCAGTATTCATGACAAATGAGAAAAGATAGGCTATATTCACATTGGAAATCAGATTGTGTAACAGAAAAATGGTAAGTGAATAAACAACCTTGAGAGATTAATTTTTATACTGGTCCTCAAGACTGAATTAATTCTCTGTTCATATTTATGTTGAAAGGGCTAACAATAAGTTAATGGAAATGAGTATCTAATTTCTAGTTCATTCATTGTTTCAACAAATATTTATTGAGCACATACTATGTGTGGAGCATCGGGCTCTATACTTTTAAGAAAGCAAAGGTGAGTAAGAAAGAGTCCCTCCTGTAGAAAGGCTAAGAGACATATACCCATGAACACATGTCAACATGTATTAAGAAAGTGTCAAATGTCATAGAATGGCTAGAGAAACTGTAATGGAAGTTGAATGAAAAACAAATAAGATTTGAAAAAGCAACACTGGACTTGGGTCTTTATGTATGCATAAGATTTAAACATGCTGACATGGAAGGCCAGAAGGTAGGACATTTCTATCGGTAGAAACAAGTTGCACCAATCTGAAATGCACAGGTATATAGAAGGACAATGGGCAATTAGGAGAAGGACGCATGACAGGAAGGAAGAATATAAGTCAGGAAAAGCCCGTAGAGCAGTAGAGAAGAAGGGCACAAAGAAAAGGTACCTAACCAACCTGAAAAGACATGAAAGTTTCTTTGAAGAATCAGTGCTTGAGCTGGATCTCGAAAGACGTGTAGGAATTAGCCATATATAGATAAGGGTGTTTCGGGAGGAGGCAATAACATATAAAAGCAGAGAGGCCTGAGAGAGCATGACATATCCAGGACACGTTTACTTTGGTAAAGATCACAATGTGTAGCACCTAAAGAAAAGCAAGTTCTAAAGCAAGAACATGGTGTGTACAGCTGGCGAGAGATGAGCTTAAAAGGAAGACAGAACACAGGTGATGAAGGGCATGGTAGGCCATGATGAAAGAGTGGCAAGCTTCATCTTTAAGATGCCAAGAAAACACATAGATTTTAAGCAAGAAAGTGACAATTTAATGTGTGTTTTAGAAAAATCCATCTCGAAGCAGTGTTAAGAAGACATTACAAGGGATGAAACAACAGATAAACGGACCAATTAAGAGGCTGTTTTATCAGTTTAAATCTACTTATCATCATCTGTAAATTAACATAAGGGTAAACTAAGACAGTGGTGGTAATACACGAGTTACTGCAAGAGATAGACAGGACTCAGTAATAGAAGGGTAAAGGATAGTGAAGGAAGAAGGATTCTAAGATGTCTCCCAGATTTATTTAACTCATTGTGTCAGTGGTAGTACCCTTCTACGTAATAGCAAATGCAGGATAGACAGAGGTTTAGGGAAAAAAAAGTTGTTAAGTTTCATACATTTTGAGTTTTAGTAAAATATAGTTGTGTTTAAAACTATGGATTTTGAAGACAGACTTGGTGCTGCCATTTATTATTTCTGCCAATTGGACAAGGGACCTATCCTCTCAGCTTCCTCATCTATAAAACGAAACAAGAGAGGTAACTACTTATAGGGGCTTAATGAGATGATGAAGACACTAAGTAAATGAGAGTTGCTGTTTTGTCATTAATATTACTTAAGATAACTGTGGGACATCCAAAGTGAAATGTCCAATAGGCAGTTTTAGAACATGGTCTGAGGTTTACATGCAAAAGGCTGTACACTTAACAGTAACTAAGTATACCACAATTTAGACAAAAAAAAAAAAAATAGAAGGGGGAAGAATTGGAGCAAAGGGCATGAAACAAAGATTTGCCAATTTAATGGATGTGGAGAAGAGTAAAAGATGACTGATGAGAAGCAAAATAAGGCATCATTATTAAACATAAGAGACACACACTGCATTATATGAAAAGGAGCAGTCCTTATTTTCTTGAAAGTAATTTGGTGAACTAAATGAAAAAATAGATAAAGAATTCTTCCAACTACCCAACAGAACTATTATCCCAGAAGAAAGAAATGAAAAAGATAGTAAAAAAATTGGCTTCTCAAGTAAAATCAAGCCAAATGGAGACAAATTATCAAAATATAAGAAACAAGGATCTGTCAAATAAAAAGACTATAAAAGAAGATGTTAACATGGCTCGTGGAAAGTATGAAAAAAAAGAACACTATCTATTATTTTTTCAAAAGAGCAAACAGAAAGGATATATGAGAAAGGAATAAAACTGGCTACTATAGGAAGGTGGGTGATGAGGGCTAGGCTATAAAGCATAGGAAGAAAGTGAGACTTCTATATAGAGTTCTGATTTTTGAGCCTTGTTATTCGTGAACTATGAACAGAGTACTCTGTCTACCCTCAGTGGGATCTATTTAAAATAGGTTAAAAAAAAATGGCTAAAAATCTAGAACATTACTTAGTAAATTTGTGGTCTTAGTGGAATAATTCCAAACTATTTTGTATTAACTATAAGACATTGATGTGGCTGAGAAACAAGTTTCTCACCATGGGAGAATAAAGATACAAATTAGGAATGGGAGAAGGAGAAAAAGAACCTTGGAGTGTTAGACTGGAATTAAAGATATCAATACATGATTCAAATGAATAAATGTAATATAAAGAAAAAATATAAAGGTAAATTTAAATTTATATAAAAAGAAATCATAAAGGTATTTATTTATAATAAATATATATTTATATTATATATATCCTAGTTCTGTCCACTGAAACAAGTCAATAGCAATGAGCACATTTCTTTGGTGTCTAAATACCACTTCCTCACTATAAGGAACCAAGACATCTTGGAGAAATAGCTGATTCCACATGTGGGGCAGGGAAAATACAAGGTAAGCTTAGACATCTTCTTGTGACATAAAATAAGAAAGTGCTTAAAAACTAACGGAGATATAGCAAAAGTATACAGAGCCAGACTAAAGGGATTACTGCTGACCAAATATGACAATAATGAAATATATCACACTGAATTTTTTTGTGATCTGTGAGTCTATTGTGATTTTTCTGCTAAGGCAGTGGGTGAAGAGGAAGAAAGGCAAGCTCTTCTTTCCTAAAGAAACCTTGCACCCAATGCTGGGGAATGACAGACTTAGAAAAATCACAGTTTTGTAACCACTGGTATAACAATTGATTCAGAAAAGGTTTATCGATGCTGCTAAAAATGATAGGTAAAGTGTTGTTAGAGAACACGATCATCAGTTTCAAAATGTCCCCAAAATTACTTATTACAAAGAGACATAGAGAAACCTATAAATCCGCCTCAACTAAGCAACTAAATTTATATCGTTAACCAAGAGATCAAACTTACCATCACCAAAAATAGGACAAACTGATATCATGCCCCTTCTGATGTGATGTTATAAGAGGGTGGCAAGGTGGCAACATCAGCTATACAGTGTTCTTGTAATCTGAATCAAACCATAAGGAAACAATCAAACAATCTAATAATTTGTAAAACTGTGGGACAGTCTATAAAACAGCAGGTCTGGGCTCATCAAAACATCAATGCCATGAAAGACACCCCCACTTTAAAAAAACC